AAAAGCCAGTGAAAAGACGTAATTCTTATTTTGTTGCAGTTAACCTTTTGGTTGAATCTTTTAATGTTATATATTCTTTGATGGCAAATTTTTATATGTTTGTTTGTTTGTTTTGGGTTTTACGTTACATCGACACAGTATAGGTCATATCGCGACGTTCAAGCTTTACTGGTGGAGGAAGACCTCAGATGCCCTGCCGTGCATTATTTCAGGCACGAACGGGCACCTGAGTAGAACCACCGGCGTTCCGTAAGCTAGCTGGATAGCTTCCTCACATGAAAGAATCCAGAATCCCTGTCGGGATTCGAACCCACAGCGGTGAGGGGCAAGTGATTTGAAGTCAACGACCTTAACCACTCGGCCACGGACGCCCCAATTTTATATGTACTGTCAGTTAAATTCAGTACACATAAAGAAAAAAATTGTAAGATAGGTACATTATGTATAATCATATATGCATAGGAGACTGTAATCATATGTGCTTGTGCAACGCAAACAAGTTAGATCGGCCCCAAGTCAGATCAGCCCCAAGTCAGATCAGCCCCCAAGTCAGATCAGCCCCAAGTCAGATCAGCTCCAAGTCAGATCAGCCCCAAATCAGATCAGGCCCCAAGTCAGATCCGCCTCAAGTCAGATCAGCCCCAAGTCAGATCAGCCCCCCAAGACAGATCAGCCCCCAAGTCAGATCAGGCCCCAAGTCAAATCGGCCTCCAGTCAGATCCGCCTCAAGTCAGATTGGCCTCAAGTCAGATCAACCCTAGGTCAGATCGGCCTCAAGACAGATCAGCCCCAAGTCAGATCAGCCCCCAAGTCAGATCTGCCCCAAGTTAGATCAGGCCCCAAGTCAAATCGGCCTCCAGTCAGATCGGCCCCAAGTCAGATCAGCCCCAAGTCAGATAAGCCCCAAGTCAGATCAGCCCCCAAGTCAGATCAGCCCCAAGTCAGATCAGCCCCCAAGTCAGATCAGCCCCAAGTCAGATCAGCCCCAAGTCAGATCAGCCCCCAAGTCAGATCAGCCCCAAGTCAGATCAGCCCCCAAGTCAGATCAGCCCCAAGTCAGGTCAGCCCCCGAGTTAGATCAGCCCACAAGTAAGTCATAGAAGACTGTAATCACTAGTGCTTAGTGAGACAATACTGAAGGTCTTGGAAATAGAACAAGTAAAGAAATAAAGGCATAAACATGGATTAAGTTAATTTAAAAGTTATCAAATGGATCAATGCTCTTTTATGTTAACCAGAATGGTAAAGATTGTGGACTTCAAACCACTTGTCCCTGATGTAGGTATGAATCCTGCCAGGGACTTTGGATTCTTTTATGTGAGGAAGCTATCTAGCTAGATTACAGAACGTTGATGGTTCTACTCATGCACAGAGAGGCACATGAGGTCTTCCTCCACTAGTTTAAGCTGGAAAGTTGCCATATGACCTCTACTATATTTGTATGTTGACATGACCTAAAACCCAACCAATCAGGATGCTTCAATTAATACTTGAAATAAAGTATCATCATTATATGATTATTATGACAAATACATGACAATTTCCTTGAAGTACATCTAAAATCTTTGATGTTAAAACACAAGATGTAAAATATGCATTTTTAGCTCACCTGTCACAAAGTGACAGGGTGAGCTTTTGTGATCGCTTTTCGTCTGGCGTCAGTCCGGCGTCCGTCCGGAAACTTTTACTTTAAATGACATCTCCTTATGAACCACTAAGCCAATTTCATCCAAACTTCACAGGAATGTTCCTTTGGTGGTCACCTTTAAAAATTGTTCAAAGAATTTAATTCCATGCAGATCTCTGGTTGCCATGGCAACCGAAAGAAAAAACTTTAAATATCTTCTTTTAAAAAACCATAAGTGCTAGAGCTTAGATATTTGGCATGAAACATCTTCTAGTGAGTGTCTACCAAGTTTGTCCAAATAAAAGCCCTGGGGTCAAAATTGGCCTTTTCCCTATATGCATATAGTAAAACCTTAAACAATCTTCTTTTAAAGAACCCAAAGAGCTAGAGCTAAGATATTTAGCATGAAATATGTTCTAATGAGTGTCTACCAAGTTTGTTCAAATAAAAGCCCTTGGGTCAAAATTGGCCCCGCCCCGGGGGGGTATTGATTTTTCCTATATGCATAGTAAAAACTTAAAAAATCTTCTTTTAAAGAACTCAAAGAGCTATGGCTAAGATATTGAGCATCAAATATGTTCTAATGGGTGTCTACCAAGTTTGTTCAAATAAAAGCCCTGGGGTCAAAATTGGCCCCGCCCCGGGGGGTCATTGATTTTCCCTATATGCATATAGTAAAAACTTAAAAAATCTTCTTTTAAAGAACCAAAAGAGTTAGAGCTAAGATATTTAGCATGAAACATGTTCTAATAAGTGTCTACCAAGTTTGTTCAAATAAAAGCCCTTGGGTCAAAATTGGCCCCGCCCCGGGGGGTCATTGATTTTCCCTATATGCATATAGTAAAAACTTAAAAAATCTTCTTTTAAAGAACCAAAAGAGTTAGAGCTAAGATATTTAGCATGAAACATGTTCTAATAAGTGTCTACCAAGTTTGTTCAAATAAAAGCCCTGGGGTCAAAATTGGCCCCGCCCCGGGGGGTCATTGATTTTCCCTATATGCATATAGTAAAAACTTAAAAAATCTTCTTTTAAAGAACTCAAAGAGCTATGGCTAAGATATTTAGCATCAAACATGTTCTAATAGGTGTCTACAAAGTTTGTTCAAATAAAAGCCCTGGGGTCAAAATTGGCACCGCCCCTTGGGTCATTGATTTTCCTTATATGTGTATAGCAAAAACTTAAAAAATCTTCTTTGAAAAAACCCAAATAGCTAGAGTTAAGATATTTAGCATGAAACATCTTTTAGTGAGTGTCTACAAAGTTTGTTCAAATAAAAGACCTGGGGTCAAAATTGGCCCGGCCCCGGGGCTCATTGATTTTCTTTATATGTGTATAGCAAAAACTTAAAATCTTCTTTGAAAAAACCCTTCTTTGAAAATAGCTAGAGTTAAGATATTAAGCATGAAACATCTTCTAGTAAGTGTCTACAAAGTTTGTTCAAATAAAAGCCCTGGCCCGGTCCCAGGGGTGTCATTGTTTTTAACTATATGTGTATAGTAAAAACTTTTTAAAAAATCTTCTTTTAAAAAGCCCAATGAGCTAGAGCTTAGATGTTTAGCATGAAAAATCTTCTTATGGGTGTCTACCAAGTTTGTGCAAATAAAAGCCCTTGGGTTAAATGGCCCTGCAACGTTGGGGCCTATATACAGGTGAGCGACCTCAGGGCCATCATGGCCCTCTTGTTTAATCAAATAGTTTAGCTACATGTAAATATATACATGTATATTTATAGCACATGAGTCAGCAGAAGATGCTAAAGAACAGGCTAAAAAACTGGTCATGTCTGGGGTAATTAAGTTTCTTCTTTTCTTTTTCCTAAATATTAATGTTTTTCTAACTTGAAGATGTTGCAGTTTTTTTTATCATAGTTTTGATACAAAACATTTACATTTACCTTAAAATTACCTTGGTATAAAACGATAATCAAATATCTGTTTAAAAATAAAACACTCCAACATTTGTGATCAGCAGAATATATTCATTAATTCATTAATTAATTCATTCATTCATTCATTTTTTTAATCAGGCTATTAAACTGAGTGATAAGAAAGAGAAGCAGGGATTTAAGAGATCTCGTAACCTTGAGAAGAAACTACAAGACCCAGAGAAATTACCTGCCACACCGGCCACTGTTGGCTTCCAGCCATTTGCTGCTTCACACCCGGATGACGAGGAGAGAGTCGAAAGAGAAGACAGGGTAAGAGCTGACGCATTTCAAGCACTATTTATACTCCTCTCCAGTGTTATGCTCACAGAGCTCCAGTTAAGAACTTGACAATTAAATACATTTAATAGTATCACCAATCTCTCAGGTAAATCTTTAGATCATTATGGATTTGGGGCGTTAATACAGACCACTGTCAGAATTGGAAATGAAATTCGTTACCAGCACTCAGAAATAACATAAACATAAGTACAATGTACTTCATTAATTTATTATTGTACAATGTACTTCATTAGTTTTATCACACACCAGTGCCCATTATGTGACTCCGTAAAAATGGTATTGCACTATCATGCATATATTTTGAAGTGACATCATTAGCCTTATACAAACAAAGTGTAAAGACGCGCTAAATGTTAGTGTTTTACTGTAGGAGTGTCAATGAAAAATGACTTTTTTGTCTCTTTAAACGGTTTTGGGTATGTGGTAAATAGAATATTAAATTTGTGTAAGTTTATTACTGACTTTATTGAACTCTTTGAATAAAATAATATTATGCTAGCCAAAGGCTCACATAATATAGTTTTATTCAACTTGTGCAATAAATTTAGTATTGAACTTACACTCATTCAATATCCTCTATATATGGCAAACAAACATTTATACATAGATATATAACCTGTGAAAAGTATGTATAATAAATGTTTTATACGGCATATTCTTTTATACTGCATATTCTTTTTCTATGATTTGAAAAGAAAATAGTTTGTATATTTGCCACAACTTTAAGAAGTTTAGTTTTGACAATGAAATTATACAAGTATATAATTATTAAGCTACAGGGACAAAAGATACATGTATATTTACAGAGACCAAGGCACCAGCGTGTACGTGGGTTATATGATAATTTTGTTCGTAGTGAGAGACCACCGGAACGTCCGGACAGAATTTCTGAAAGACCAGAGAGAGGTTTGTTTTGTTAACTCTTACCATGTTGGATCTAAAAGTAATTAGTCTTTGTCTCCAGTATAGAATCAATCCAACCTGACCATTCTATTTGGTACTGTTGGTAGCACAATTTCTGTATTTTGATATTGAATGCCCTAAAATGTTGAATGAACTGGTCTTAATTAAAGCTGCATGCCTCCAGATGAACCAAAATATTTCAAGAAAATCAAACTTGAGAAAAATTATGTACTAAGATTTTAAGAGATGTAAAAAGATTCAAGATTTAAGTAATAATTTACATGTTATATGCGATTAATGACTGATTTTTCAGAATTAATCACCATATTTCTACTGCATTACTAACGCAGTAAGGGCTATTTCTGCCTATTTTGACATCTGTTTTGGTAATCTATATGCATTGTAAATGCCTAATTGTAGTGTGTTAATTATTTTCTTTGTTAACTACACAATATTTTACTTTAAAATACATTTTCAAAATTTTCAAGAAAATTAGCATGAATCTGGAGGCATGCTGCTTTAAAGGCGCGGCAAATAATCTATACATGTGCAGCTGGTTACAGGTAAAATTGCAATACAATATGTGATAAATATGTTGACCAGTCTTGAAACTTGAAACAAAGTTTCTTTTCAGCTCGACGTTTCAAAGAAATGTGGACTGGTATCCTACTTACCCCAGTATTGGCTTTGTTCTAACTCTCACCTAAGGTTTTTGGTGCGATTTTGGTCTCTTTAACCTTTGAAAGTCTTCATTTTGAATTTTTCACAAGTGTTCAGAATTATAAATGCAAGTGAATGTCACCTCTTATTTATTGTTTCTAATTTGTCTGTTGTTTTGGCTGTGTTTCAGTTAATCGATACTGACCGCTAATGAATATCACCTCTTATGTATTGTTTCTAATTTGTCTGTTGTTTGGCTGTGTTTTAGTTAATCGATACTGACCGCTTCTTATTAATATCACCTCTTATGTATTGTTCTAATTTGTCTGTTGTTTTGGCTGTGTTTCAGTTAATCGATACTGACCGCTTCTTATGAATATCACCTCTTATGTATTGTTTCTTATTTGTCTGTTGTTTGGCTGTGTTTCAGTTAATAGATACTGACCGCTTCTTATAAATATCACCTCTTATTTATTGTTTCTAATTTGCCTGTTGTTTGGCTGTGTTTCAGTTAATTTCTTATGAATATCACCTCTTATGTATTGTTTCTAATTTGTCTGTTGTCTGGCTGTGTTTCAGTAAATCGATACTGACCGCTTCTTATGAATATCACCTCTTATGTATTGTTTCTAATTTGTCTGTTGTTTGGCTGTGTTTCAGTTAATTGATACTGACCTCTTCTTATGAATATCACCTCTTATGTATTGTTTCTAATTTGTCTGTTGTTTGGCTGTGTTTCAGTTAATTGTTACTGACCTCTTCTTATGAATATCACCTCTTATGTATTGTTTCTAATTTGTCTGTTGTTTGGCTGTGTTTCAGTTAATAGATACTGACCGCTTCTTATAAATATCACCTCTTATGTATTGTTTCTAATTTGCCTGTTGTTTGGCTGTGTTTCAGTTAATTTCTTATGAATATCACCTCTTATGTATTGTTTCTAATTTGTCTGTTGTTTTGGCTGTGTTTCTGTTAATCAATACTGACCGCTTTTTAGCTCGACTATATGAAGTATATGGAGAGCTGTCCTACTCGCCCCGGCGTCCTCGTCCAGATTTTAGATTAAAGTTTTGGTGCAGTAAAATATTTTTCACTATAACTTTGTCATTTCTTAAGGTATCAACTTTAAACTTCAAATATATGTTCCTTATCATCAACCACATCTTATGTGACAAGGTTCATAACTCTAGCACCAATATTTTCAGATTTATCTCCCCTTGAACTTTTAATTTTCCTTAAAAAATACTATTTTTTACTGATACTTCTCTATTTCTTAAGGGATCAACCTCATACTTCAAATATATGTACCTTATCATCATCCCCATCTTATGTGACAAGGTTCATAACTCTAGCACCAATATTTTCAGATTTATCTCCCCTTGAACTTAGAATTTTCCTCAAAAAATACTATTTCTTACTGTTTCTTCTTTATTTCTTAAGGGATCAACCTCATACTTCAAATAATTACGTTATCACCATCCCCATCTTATGTGACAAGGTTCATAACTCTAGCACCAATACATGTATTTTAAGATTTATCTCCCTTTCAACTTAGAATTTTCCATACAAAATATAATTTTTTACTGTAACTTATTTATTTCTAAAGGGATCAACTTCATACTTCAAATATATTTACGTTATCATCATCCACATCTTATGTGACAAGGTTCATAACTCTAGCACCCATATTGCAAGAATTATCTCCCCATAAACTTAGATTTATTTACTAGAAAAATATTATTTTTTATTTTAACTTTTTTTTTTTTAAGGTATCTACCTCAAACTTCAAATACTTATTCCTTATCATCAATTACATTTTATGTGACAATGTTCATAACTCTTGAAGCAATATTTACAGATTTATCTCTCTTTGAACTTATAATTAGGATTTTCTTTAAGAAATATAATAACTTCTTTATTTTTTAAGGTATCTACTTCAAACTTCAAATATATATTTCTTATCATTACACAAATGTTGTGTGGCAAGGTCCATAACTCTAGCATGACTATTTCTAGAATTATTCCCCTTGATCTTGGAATTTATGTTAACAAATGTTATTTTTTACTATAACTTAATACATAATTATACATAATTGATTTTTCTTTCATAGTTTTGTCCTCCTTACTGCGTCCAGTATTTTATTAGTCGAGCTTCGCTGTCTCCTGTGACAGCTTTTGTTATGAATATTACCTCTTATGTATTGTTTAATTTGTCTGTTGTTTTGGCTGTGTTTCTGTTAATCAATACTGACCGCTTTTTAGCTCGACTATATGAAGTATATGGAGAGCTGTCCTACTCGCCCCGGCGTCCTCGTCCAGATTTTAGATTAAAGTTTTGGTGCAGTAAAATATTTTTCACTATAACTTTGTCATTTCTTAAGGTATCAACTTAAACTTCAAATATATGTTCCTTATCATCAACCACATCTTATGTGACAAGGTTCATAACTCTAGCACCAATATTTTCAGATTTATCTCCCCTTGAACTTTTAATTTTCCTTAAAAAATACTATTTTTTACTGATACTTCTCTATTTCTTAAGGGATCAACCTCATACTTCAAAATATGTACCTTATCATCATCCCCATCTTATGTGACAAGGTTCATAACTCTAGCACCAATATTTTCAGATTTATCTCCCCTTGAACTTAGAATTTTCCTCAAAAAATACTATTTCTTACTGTTTCTTCTTTATTTCTTAAGGGATCAACCTCATACTTCAAATAATTACGTTATCACCATCCCCATCTTATGTGACAAGGTTCATAACTCTAGCACCAATACATGTATTTTAAGATTTATCTCCTTTTCAACTTAGAATTTTCCATACAAAATATAATTTTTTACTGTAACTTATTTATTTCTAAAGGGATCAACTTCATACTTCAAATATATTTACGTTATCATCATCCACATCTTATGTGACAAGGTTCATAACTCTAGCACCCATATTGCAAGAATTATCTCCCCATAAACTTAGATTTATTTACTAGAAAAATGTTATTTTTTATTTTAACTTTTTTTTTTTAAGGTATCTACCTCAAACTTCAAATACTTATTCCTTATCATCAATTACATTTTATGTGACAATGTTCATAACTCTTGAAGCAATATTTACAGATTTATCTCTCTTTGAACTTATAATTAGGATTTTCTTTAAGAAATATAATAACTTCTTTATTTTTTAAGGTATCTACTTCAAACTTCAAATATATATTTCTTATCATTACACAAATGTTGTGTGGCAAGGTCCATAACTCTAGCATGACTATTTCTAGAATTATTCCCCTTGATCTTGGAATTTATGTTAACAAATGTTATTTTTTACTATAACTTAATACATAATTATACATAATTGATTTTTCTTTCATAGTTTTGTCCTCCTTACTGCGTCCAGTATTTTATTAGTCGAGCTTCGCTGTCTCCTGTGACAGCTTTTGTTATGAATATTACCTCTTATGTATTGTTTAATTTGTCTGTTGTTTGGCTGTGTTTCAGTGAATCGATACTGACCGCTTTTTATGAATGTCACCTCTTATGTATTGTTTCTAAATTGTCTGTTGTTTGTCTGTGTCTCAGGTATTGAAAGAGAGGACAGAAGAGATGATAGAGATAGACGTGAGAGACCAGACAGACCTGATAGGGAACCTCTTCCTAAAAAAGGTAATTTAAATCTCCCTAGAAGTTCAGTAAGAAGATTGCAACCTTAGCTTAAGTTCTCTGCTAATCCAAACTTAAAATATACATATTGCAGTTATAGTGATTTAACATTTTGTATGTAATTCAAAGTACTACTTTGTTTACATTTTGCTACTTGTATGACAAAGAATTTCATATTCATGGCTGTATTATTCAGGTGATAAGAATCTTACATGATGTTAACTATAAAACTCATATTAACCCTTTCTCTAAAGAAGAAAAAAAAAGTTGGTATCTGAGGCATATCGTGGCTTTAAAGGTATATGGTCACAAAAATACAAATGTAGTAAAAATTAGGAAAGGTGAAATTCTGAAAATGTATTTTATAGTGAAATTTGGTTTTGTTTAGGTAACACTGTGTATGTTCATGGTCATGGTGTGAATGAGGAATTACTGAGGAAGGCCTTCCATAACTTTGGTAATATTGTCAACATATCAATGGAGAAAGAAAGGAAGTAAGTTAAGATTGTATGTTTTTCCTCTAGAATCCAAATTAGCTGCCAATTGTAAAAGATTTACCTACAATTTCTCAAAGTGTATATATTGTTATCTTAAGGTGGCAGACTTGAATTAAAGATTGGTTGATCCATAATTACAATAACCACACAGGTACCAATATTTACACTTACCACTCAGGTACACATGGTTACACCAATCACATAGGTACACATGGTTACACCAAATACTCAGGTACATATGGTAACACCAACCACATAGGTGCACATGGTTACACCAACCATATTAGGTACACATAGTTACACAAACCACTCAGGTACACATGATTACACCAACCCACATGGTTACACCAACCACATAGGTGCACATAATTACACCAACCACTTGGGTACAAATTGTAACAGCAACCACACAGGTACCAATATTTACAACAAACAGGTACATATGGTTACACCAACCAATCACTTACTAAGGTTACACTAACCACACAGGAGGTACCAATATTTACACCAACAGCACAGGTACACATACATTTTTATGTAGTTAAACCAACAACACAGGTACACATAATTACACAAACCACATATGTCCACAAAATTACACCAACCACTCAGGTATACAAAATTACACCAACCACATTGGTACACATGGTTACACAAACCACATATGTACACATGATTACACCAACCACTCTGGTTAAGTCAGCTACACATAATTACACCAACTACACAGGTACCCATTCAACTGAGTGACTTGTAGCAATGCTGAATGAATTATTTACTCAAATTAACTGTGCCCAGACCAAGACCTTTCAAATGAAAGATGGTGTTGTACATACCAATTAACCTTTATTGCACAAGGACCACTGTTCCATTTTTAGCTCATCTGAGCACAAAGTACTCATGGTGAGCTATTGTGATCCTCCACCATCTGTCGTTGTCCATTGTCCATAATTTCTTTAAACAACATCTCCTCAGAAACAAATGACTGCACAGAAACCAAACTTCACAAGAATGATCCTTGGTGTGTAAGTGTATTTGCGTTTATTTCCAGTTAGTCCTCCAGAAGAGTATTAGTCATTTTAGATTAGCATACCAAGTGTTTAAGCACCCATACATGGAAATTTTATTTAAAGTCTCATCCGAAAGACTGATTAGTACTTTAAGTTGGCCAGCTCGAGAAAAGAACCCACAATAACGAGATTACAAGTCTCGCGCTCTAACTGATAGAGCTATGCAGGCTGATCTTTGGGTGGTCCCCCACCAAAGTTGTTCAAATGCTTCCGGTCTGTTGCATAAGCAGATCACGGGGCCAGGAAAGGAGTTTAAAAATGCAAAATTAAAAAACCTTCTTGTCTGAAAGTACAAGGCCTAGACCTTTGGTATTTGGTATATGATATCACCTATAGGTGTTCTACCAAAGTTGTTCAAATCATAGCCCTGGGGTCAAAATTGGCCCCGCCCCATAGAGCCCTGTAGGGTCATAGGTTTTCCATATATGTATATAGTACAAAATTAGTAAATCTTCTTGGATGATGGTACAATGCTTAAAGCTTAGATATTTGGTATGTAATATCACCTATAGGTCCTCTACCAAAGTTGTTCAAATCATAGCCCTAGGGTCAAAATTGGTCCCACCCCAGGGGGTCATATGTTTTCCTTATATGTATATAGTAAAAACTTAAAAAATCTTTCTGTTTGAGGATACAAGGCTTAGAGCTTAGATATTTGGTACATAATATTATCTATAGGTCCTCTACCAAAGTTGCTCAAATTTTAGTCCTGGGGTCAAAATTGGCTCCGCCCCGGGGTCATAGGTTTTCCTTATATGTATATCGTAAAAACTTTGAAAATCTTCTCCTCTGAATTGACAAAGGCTAGTGGTTAGATATTTGGCATGAGGCATTGTGTAGTGGAACTCTACCAAGATTGTTTAAATTATAGCCCAAAAATTGAATTTAAGACCTGGTAACTTCACGTTTGTATATCAATTGCATTTAGTACTCAGGTGAGCGCATTGTGGCCAATGGCCGCCTTGTCTCTTTGTCTATCTAACAAACCTACACATTAAATATGAAGATTTCTGTTTCAATATTCAACATTATTGGATAAAAAAAATCTATAATTGCTTCCAGTTTTACTTGCACATATATTACATCTTCTTTTTGAAATGAAAAAAAATTTAATACAAAGTCATGCAATTTATGAATCATTTTAGATGTTATTGAAAGGAAATATTTTGTACCTGAAATAATTATATAATAATGTTTTAATACAATTTTTTGTATATCTTTAGTTGTGGTTTTGTGACCTTTGACAAAATGGACTGTGCAGAAATGGCCATACAAGAGGTAAGTCTGTTATGTGTATGTAGTAGTAGGAATGTTTTATTGTAGGGATGGGGAGTTTTATTGTAGGGGTGGGGATGTTTTATTGTAGGAGTGGGGGTGTTTTATTGTGGGGGTGGGGGTGTTTTATTGTAGGGATGGGGAGTTTTATTGTAGGGGTGGGGGTGTTTTATTGTAGGGAATGGGGTGTTTTATTGTAGGGGGTGGAGAGTTTTATTGTAGGGGTGGGTGTTTTATTGAAGGGATGGGAGTTTTATTGTAGGAGTGGGGGTGTTTTATTGTGGGAGTGGGGGAGATTGTGAAGTGAAAAAATAAATGGAAGGCAGAATAATAAGTGATGTGATAAGATTTTTCCTATTGCTATGTCATGAATACATGTACAACACATTGTTGTTTTATAATTCAATCGATCATGAAATACCTGTAACATTAGAGATGGCATGAGCTCCCTGTACAGAAATTGAAGATTGCATGTACAGAACAACTGCTCAGGGCAACACCCTTTGGCAAAGGTGACAAAGAATTTGGTTGTTGCTAAGAGGTCCAAGTAGTAGAGAGGTAAAATATGTAAAGAGGTAGTTGTTATATAGAGGGTCGCTCAGCAGAGGTTTTTAACTATAAAGCTATTTTTTATGCATGCAGGTAGATGGCGCTATGATTGATAGTGTTCAGTTACGTGTCTCCATGGCAAGAAGACAACCATCATTTGACAGTACCAGCCGAGATCCATCCAGCACTTCATGGGCTTCTCTAGGTAAATATAATTCTGTCTTCTGAAAATATAATGGACTTTTCCTGCTCATTGTTTGTAAAAGGGATGTCAATATCTATATGTTAAAGTCAAATAGCCAATAGTATATGAAGCTGTATTATTTTGTAGAAATATCATTTCTCAACCTTTGAAAACTCTTTAATAGGCCTGCCCTTTTTCCAGTTTTGGCCGTCAATTTATTTGTATAAGGGATGTCAGTGTCAATTTCCAAGTTTCGATTTTCACTGAAAAAGGGACATTACTGTATACTAGTATTATTTTATATTGTGTTAAACTATTTTTCTTCTGTCACATTTTCAGTAAATTTTCTGATATTTTATAAATTAAATATGGACAATATATTTTAGTATAACAGATGTATTGAACTATCTTTATATTTCATATTTTCAGCCAGTAACAATTCACAGAAAGGATCTCACAAAGACAAAAGAGATGTAGTGGCATACGAGGAGGACATGTTTTGATAAAACAATTGTTTGTTGTGGGAGATTAACAAACATTTACAGAAAGATAAAGTAATTTGTTTTTAAGATCAGAATGAAAAATGTTGAACGTTTATCATACTTGCGACTGATATTCACCTTATGACATGGAATTGTTTGGTAAATGTCGTTTTTGATTTTAAAACGCTTGTACCTCAACGTTCAAATTCCACAAGGGATTTTGGATTTTTCATGTGAGGAAGCTATCAAGCTAGCTTACCTAACGTTGGGTGGCAGCATGGAGGAGCAGTTATGGTCTTTCTTCACCAAATAGCTGGAACATCACAATTTGACCTTTACAGTGTTGATGGGACTTTAAACAAGGAGAAAAAGCAAAAATAATATATATATATATATACATAAATAGCGGTACATGTGCATGTATATATGGTAATTACTTCACTTGTGAGGTGGAAATTTTGAGAGGTGATAAAAATGTTATTGCAATGTAAATTGTCTTTCATAAACCTTATATATTTTGATCTTAGGCAATTGTTTTGTTTTATTTTTCGGACAAACAATTAAAGGTGTAACCTCTGTAATGTGGCCTTCTGTAGACCAATAATCTCTTCCTTCAACATCATCAATTCCTATTAATGTAAGACTTCACAATCAGTTCTGCATGTTTAGAGTGACCTCTTTGTCTTATATTTTTATACGCATAAAGAAAATGACAATAGGCCATGATGTCTTATATTTAAAAAAAATGTGTTATTCCTCCAATTTTTGAGGAAAAAAACAACATTTTACTGTTCTTTGATAACTGATGCACATCCATGTCAGCATTACTATCACATGATGATCTACACATCTCTATTACAGACAAAATGAAGACCTGGTAATTGTTTCAGTTCCTCTGTTACAAAAGTAATGTCATATGTACCTTTAATACTAGAATGTTCTTACCATAATGTATTTCATAGGTAAAATCAGTCGGAACTATAAATTTCGTTTTATTTCATATGGTATTTTTAAAGAGGTATCTAACGTAAAAGTTAAATGTTTTTATTTTTATACTGTGCATTTTCTTGAATAAATTTATGCAACGGTTAAACATTTAGTTTATGATCTAAAAACTTAAAACGTGAACTAAGTGTGTACAAGGGTAAGTGTACTTATGAATGATTGTTTTTAGCTCACCTGTTACAAAGTGACAGGGTGAGCTTTTGTGATCGCTTTTCGTCCGGCGTCCGTCCGTCCGTCCGTAAACTTTTACTTTAAATGACATCTCCTCATAAAGCACTTAGCCAATTTCATCCAAACTTCACAGGAATGTTCCTTTGGTAGTCACCTTTAAAAATTGTTCAAAGAATTTAATTCCATGCAGAACTCTGGTTGCCATGGCAACCGAAAGAAAAAACTTTAAATATCTTCTTTTAAAAAACCATAAGAGCTAGAGCTTAGATCTTTGGCATGAAACATCTTCTAGTGAGTGTCTACTAAGTTTGTTCAAATAAAAGCCCTGGGGTCAAAATTGGCCCCGCCCCGGGGGGTCATTTATTTTCCCTATATGCATATAGTAAAAACTTAAAAATCTTTTAAAGAACTCAAAGAGCTATGGCTAAGATATTGAGCATCAAACATGTTCTAATAGGTGCCTACCAAGTTTGTTCAAATAAAAGCCCTGGGGTCAAAATTGGCCCCGCCCCAGGGGGTCATTGATTTTCCCTATATGCATATAGTAAAAACTTTAAAAATATTCTTTTAAAGAACCAAAAGAGTTAGAGTTAAGATATTTAGCATGAAACATTTTCTAGTGAGTGTCTACCAAGTTTGTTCAAATAAAAGCCCAGGGTCAAAATTTGCCCGCCCCAGGGGGTCTTTGATTTTCCCTTTATGCATATAGTAAAAACTTTAAAAATCTTCTTTTAAAGAACCCAAAGAGCTAGAGCTAAGATATTAAGCATGAAACATCTTCTAATGAGTGTCTACCAAGTTTGTTCAAATAAAAGCCCTGGGGTCAAAATTGGCCCCGCCCCAGGGGGTCATTGATTTTCCCTATATGCATATAGTAAAAAACTTAAAAAATCTTCTTTGAAAAAAAAAACAACAAATAGCTAGAGTTTAGATATTAAGCATGAAACATCTTCTAGTATTAGTGTCTACAAAGTTTGTTCAAATAAAAAGCCCTGGGGTCAAAACTGATCCGGCCCAGGGGTGTCATTGTTTTTAACTATATGTGTATTTTAAAAAGCCCAATGAGCTAGAGCTTAGATGTTTAGCATGAAACATCTTCTAGTGAGTGTCTACCAATTTTGTTCAAATAAAAGCCCTTGGGTCAAAATTGGCCCCGCCCCAGGGGGTCATTGATTTTCCCTATATGCATATAGTAAAAACTTTAAAAATATTCTTTTAAAGAACCAAAAGAGTTAGAGTTAAGATATTTAGCATGAAACATTTTCTAGTGAGTGTCTACCAAGTTTGTTCAAATAAAAGCCCAGGGGTCAAAATTTGCCCGCCCCAGGGGGTCTTTGATTTTCCCTTTATGCATATAGTAAAAACTTTAAAAATCTTCTTTTAAAGAACCCAAAGAGCTAGAGCTAAGATATTAAGCATGAAACATCTTCTAATGAGTGTCTACCAAGTTTGTTCAAATAAAAGCCCTGGGGTCAAAATTGGCCCCGCCCCAGGGGGTCATTGATTTTCCCTATATGCATATAGTAAAAACTTAAAAAATCTTCTTTGAAAAAAAAAAAAAAACAAATAGCTAGAGTTTAGATATTAAGCATGAAACATCTTCTAGTATTAGTGTCTACAAAGTTTGTTCAAATAAAAGCCCTGGGGTCAAAACTGATCCGGCCCAGGGGTGTCATTGTTTTTAACTATATGTGTATTTTTAAAAAGCCCAATGAGCTAGAGCTTAGATGTTTAGCATGAAACATCTTCTAGTGAGTGTCTACCAATTTTGATCAAATAAAAGCCCTTGGGTCAAAATTGGCCCCGCCCCAGGGGGTCATTGATTTTCCCTATATGCATATAGTAAAAACTTAAAAAATCTTCTTTGAAAAAACCCAAATAGCAAGAGTTTAGATATTAAGCATGAAACATCTTCTAGTATTAGTGTCTACACAGTTTGTTCAAATAAAAGCCCTGGGGTCAAAACTGATCCGGCCCAGGGGTGTCATTGTTTTTAACTATATGTGTATTTTTAAAAAGCCCAATGAGCTAGAGCTTAGATGTTTAGCATGAAACATCTTCTTATGGGTGTCTACCAAGTTTGTGCAAATAATAGCCCTTGGGTTAAATTGGCCCTGCAACGTTGGGGGGGGGGCCTATATACAGGTGAGCGACCTCAGGGCTATCATGGCCCTCTTGTATACATATATATTTGTAGTTGTAATAGTGTAAGATAATGAAGGAGGAAACTAAATTATAATTTATTAGTCCCCTACCGGTTTACCGGAGGGGACTTTAGGTTTACCCTCCGTCCGTCCGTCCGTCCGTCCATCAGTCCGTCCGTCCACAAAACTGGATCCCGCGATATCGCAAAAGTACTGAAAATATTTTAATGAAACTTGATATATGGATAGATGGCAGTATGGAGATTATGCACGTCTTTTTCTTTTCTTCCTATGTTGAAAATTCTGGTTTCTATGGCAACAAATAGACTGGAAATATGGCACATTTTACACATAACCTGGATCCCGCAATAACGCAAAAAGTACTGAAGATATTTTTATGAAACTTGATATTTAGATAGATGGCAGTATGGAGATTATGCACGTCTTTTTATTTTCTTCCTATGTTGAAAATTCTGGTTGCTGTGGCAACAAATAGACTGAAAATATGGCAAAATTTACACATAACCTGGATCCAGTGATAACACAAAAAGTACTGAAAATATGATTATGAAACTTGACATATGGGTAGATGGCAGTATGGAAATTATGCACATCCTTTTCTTATTTTTCTATGTTGAAAATTCTGGTTGCTATGGCAACAAATAGACTGAATTTCAAGATTTCTGATTCTAGTTTTTAAGTTTTTTCACTATAAGTTCTTTATTTCTTAAGGTATTATCTTCAAACTTTAAATATAAGTTGCTTGTCATCAACCACATCATATGTGACAAGGTTTACAACTCTAGCACAAAATTTATCAGAATTACCTCCCTTGAACTTAAAATTTTCATGAAAAAAACATTGTTTTTTTTAAATTTAATTCTTTTTCTGAATGTATCTACTTCAAACTTCATATAAATGTTTCTTATTATCACACAACATTTGTGAGTGTTCAATACTCTAGCAAGACTATTTCCAGAATTATGCCCCTTTTGAACTTAGACTTTTTTTTGAGAAATTGGTAATTTTTACTCCAACTTCTTCAATCATGATAGGATTTTAAAAATGTTATATTTTGATAACAGGGATGTTTAAAAAATAACTTTAGAGTGTCCTTCAGTCCGTCTGTCTGTACATAAAAACTGTTTCTTGTGATCACTTTTCAAGAACTTTTTCAGCAAATTTATTTAAAATAGGAACATAAGTGAATGGCCAATGGCCCTTCAGAATGTTGCTTGGGCTCTTACCGGTAGGGTACTTATGGATTGCTTGCAATACTATGATAATTGCTTGTTATATGTAGCAGTTAGACTTGTGCTAAATGTACAAACAAGCAAACTGAAAGATTTTTTCTTTTAAATTGTAAAGAAAATAAAGAAAAATAAATGCTAACAACGATGCCAAGACTTGATTTATTTTTTGCTCACTTGAGCACTTGGTTTTGAGAGGTAAGCTTTTGTTATTGCAATGTGTCTGTCATTTATTGTTATTAGCATTTTATTTATACATTTCCTAAAAGTTTTATTTGTGATAACTTGTGTAATCTTTTCACAGATTTTATTCATACCTGTACAAAAGAACACACATTCCAAAACCAACAGTTTTCAGTTTTCTGATATGACCTAGGCCTTTAATTGACCTTGCCTGTCAATGTTTAAATTATCAAAAATTTAAGACAATTATATAACTGTTCCAAAGGTTTCGTTTGTATTTATTCAGTCTCCTAGCATATCAATATAGAAATGAGCCGCGCCATGACAAAACCAACATAATAGGTTTGCGACCAGCATGGATCCAGACCAGCATCCGCGCAGTCTGATCAGGATCCATGCTGTTCCCTTACAAACCCTATAACAAGTAGAGAAACTGATAGCGAAACAGCATGGATCCTGATCAGACTGCACGGAAACCCATTATGTTGGTTTTGTCATGGCGCAACTCAAATACAGTTTATATTGCCACTTACAAGATTAATGGTCGTCAGCTGATATAACTCGAGTCTATAGGACATACTAATTCAATTTTAGATATACTAATAATAAAATGAATGGTATAAATACTCTAAATGTATCAAATTCATTTAATGAAAGTGCATGACTACTTTGTGTCGCCTTGAAAAAGGCGACTTATAGGTATTACTTTTATTGTCGACGGCGGCGTCCCCAAAGACTTGTGCGGAGAATAAGTCTGATTGACTCCAAAATTCGTCAGCCTGCTACTTTCAATGACTCGAAGTGCAGTGGATAAGAATAATTACTCTGCACTTTTTAATTTTTGAGTTATTGCCCTTTGTTAATTTTCATACTTTTTTTTGTCCAGGCCATTTCTCCTAAACAAAAAAAGCTAAGGTAGGATGATACATCTCATTGAGAT